CTGATTGCAAATAATCCTTCCCCCTAAGCTACTCATAGTTTGTTGATAGTATGAAGTTTGGAATTTTCTACCCAAACCTACCGAAAGTGGCTTCAAATCTCGATTGGAGTAATTCCGGGTCTCCTCACACTGTCACGGAAAACTGAAGCTGCCACTTTACTATTGTGAACCAGGTCAAGCAAGACCCAAGCCAGATAGAACTCCAACTTCCTGAACACTATACGATACACAGAATTCTGGGACGTTGCTGTAGGTTCCGGCAACCAACTATGTCCTCTTTCAGACTCTCAAGCAGTACTTGACTCGGTTCGATGGAACTCTCTCTGGCCGATTTTGAGAGGTTCTAGTGTTATTGGTTCTATTATTTAAAAATGAAAGTACGAGCTTGCATACACGGGGAAGAGACAACAGCAGGTCCCTGCCAAACTGGGCCTGCCACTTTACTATTGTGAACCAGGTCAAGCAAGACCCAAGCCAGATAGAACTCCAACTTCCTGAACACTATACGATACACAGAATTCTGGGACGTTGCTGTAGGTTCCGGCAACCAACTATGTCCTCTTTCAGACTCAAGCAGTACTTGACTCGGTTCGATGGAACTCTCTCTGGCCGATTTTGAGAGGTTCTAGTGTTATTGGTTCTATTATTTAAAAATGAAAGTACGAGCTTGCATACACGGGGAAGAGACAACAGCAGGTGACTTGGAATCAGGGGTACGATAAAGTTAGTTCCCTATTATGAGTGCTTTGCTTAATTTCGTGTTGGACTGAACAATGGAATATTTCCCATCAAGCTACTGGTGAGATAACACATTTGTTCTTAGGCAAAGTTCAACACGACTATAGGTGTATCCTGTCCGTACAAGACAAGACGGAGTGAATTGAGAACCAATGACTAATAAACGGTTCTTTGGTGCTAGCCAAACCAGTGGTGATAATCCCCTAATTTACATCCGATTCGCAACCTTACCTCCGACAGATGGTCAGGCAGAAGAAATCAGTAGTCAAATTAATTACAACAAAGACATGCTTAGGCAGTTGAACGTCAGTGGGTCAAGTTGACCAGGAAGCTTCGACAATACAAAATGACTGATCAACCGGCACTAAGGTGCGCATGTGAAACCTGATCCTCTAACGTTAAGGACTTTTAATAGCCCGATGTGTTTGGTCGCTGGTAGCTTCGAGGCATACTGAAGGTTCGGAAGACTGATAGAATATCTGAGGGAAATATCAAACAGCAATACCAAAAATAAGTTTTATCACACTTAGCCAACACTGACGAACATGGCGGGTCAAGTTCCTGCCCACAATCTGACACTGGTTTAGCAGGCATGTCGGTGTGTTCATGTGCGGGGTACCTCTGTCGGACTGGCATTTAGCTGTCCGATGTCACTTGGCTGGGATTAGTTGTCATACGGACTCTGTCGATAAGATTACAACTGACCGACATTGGGCCCACCCGGGATATAATCAGACCGGACTCATTTTAACACAGTAGATGGGCAAAACAAAAAAAGCTAGATTAATTTGCAAAAACCCAGTGAAGAATAGTGGCTGGGGTTACATAGACGCCTGGATGCGCTCCTTCGTTGTTGACCGGGTGGTCACGAGGCGTGGCGGTTCACCTAGTCTGAGTGAAACTTTTCCACATTGCATGCCCTTTTGTCCATTTGGGTAGTTAGACTGTGATCAACCGACGTTCGAGGCAAATGTGTTAGTGTGAACGGGAGAAATATGCGAATACAGTCACTGAGTAGGTCCGTTTTCAACTCTGCGCTGTTTTGGGAATCAGAGTCATTTCCCCAGCGAAAATCATGATTGAGAGCTCGCGTTCAATCTATAAGAAGGGTAACGTAAACCAATCCCCTAAGTAGACTTCATGAACTTTTACTTTTGTGCTTGTGCGCCCACGCACACTAGTTGTGCAGCAAACTACACAACCGAGGAGGTCATTAGCGCAATATAACAGTGTAAAATTAATGTGAGGTGGTAGGGTTAGTGATGGTCTACAGGCGAACTTCCGACATCGAAAATGCACAATAATCAACAGGCTTGCCGGACGGACTGGATAATGGTGAGCCGCAACAGAAGGCCCACATTTCAGAGTAACATTCCTAGGCTGTTGCCAGCCACAATAAAACAATAACTAAGGTTACGTAGGCAAAACTTAAATACGACGTATTACGTTACATCCAGAACAGGTCTGTGGTAGGTTGTAATCTAATCTGTTCTATAACAACGCAAATCAGAGCTCATGCAGAGAGAAATAACAATTCGGGAACCCAGATCATGCGGGCCCAAAACTGAGATGGAATGCACTTTGGCGGCCAGCATGTATGGCGTACGAAAATTCACTAAGGTCACCGCTATTTCTTGAAAACAGTCTTTCAAACAAATACCACTCAAGCCAGATGCTCACCGAACTTGTCAATTCTGATTTAGAATGCACAGACTCGTCAAACATCATGCCGTGCCCTTGGAAGGTGCAGGACACTATTATGAGTTTACGGTTCAAAACTTGAAGATGTTTTGTGTATCTAGTCAAATTAGGTAGAAGCTTCGCGCTTGAATTCCACCAGCCTATGGGACTCATTGGAGATCATGCACCCAAGCCTTGACATTTTGTCCCGGGTGACATTCAATGGACACATGGCAGGCTGTGTGCAAGAAATTTAGACGATAAAGTATTCTGGAGAAAAATAGTGAACCCGTCCACTAAGCATCGATCCTTTTCCCTACTGTCTCTTCACACGCCAACGAGAGGTTGAAACACTGATTAGGAATAATCGTGAGCTATTGCCTGGTCTAGCCACATCCCGTTTAACCACCATGAAAATGGGATATCGAACCATATATGGCCCTCCATTGTGAGGTTCGTTACCAATACCTCCCTCTTCTTTGCCGTGCTACTAGCAAAAGAAGCCATATAAAGCGTCCGCATCGTAATTTTAATCGTCAGTGAATATAATCTTCTTCCGTTCGTAATTCCATACTGTACGACTCTTTGCGTAGCCGGCTCTGGGCTTCATATTCATCCTCGCATTTGTATACTTCCAAAGCGGAGGATACCCGAACACCTACTGGACGCGTCTGAAAGAGACCCATCCTTTGGTGGGGGTACTTCGTATTTGGTTAGTTATGGCACTCAGGCACAACCAGTTTGCACTGTCGTACACATGTTGTAGAGAACTCCTAGTTTTATTTCTATTGCCTCCAAGGAAGAGAAAAAAATCGTTCAGCCTAGCTGCCATGCTACACGAAGGAAGCACGAGGGCTGGGATACTACCAGGTTGCCCAAGCCTAGACAGGGGAAGTCGAGAGGCAGAGGTCGGGTTCGAACCAAGGAAGAGAGTAACCAGGATGTTGCTATTCAACATTTTGAATCGTCAAAATTTCGGTGCGATTTGCCCAGTGTATTCCGAAATCCTTGAATCTACAGTCTATAACGAGAATTCCCATGCTGTTGACTAAAATAAAGAGTCGTCATACATAGTGACAGAATAACTCACTAGGGAGTGTTGGTGAATACTAATAACGATTGGGGACGATTCAGCTTTGGTCTTGGAGCATTGCTGGTAGAATCCGTGAACATCTCGTGTGGCGAAAGCAGGTCAGGAGCACTTATCTTCCGTATCAGTGTAGTGGTTTCACGATAGCTCTACACTGTGCCAGCACACGGTGTTAAGAGTTCTCTGTTTACGAAGTCAAAATGGATCATGCGCAAAGCTGGACGGCAGCGAAGACCAGGGGAACTCGGTGGTCTTATTAATGTTTCGTGCACCAAATTATATAACCAGATCCTAGTGCGTATGTTAACGCCACCGATTAATAATGCAGGACTGCAATGTATAGGTGAAAACGCTATCAGGTGGGCGGAAAACTGCTCTTGATTCGCATCATACCCACCTAAAGCGAAGCAGTACTTTCACCCGTCACGTGATTACGAACGAAACAGTTTTCCATGTCCGGCTTTGACGCTATGAGTCAGAAAAAGTGATGAAGTGCAATAGATGAAAAACGCGGTTGTTCTTCATAATTACACGATTCTACGGACGGTAGGCGACAGCACGAAATGTTTCGTATCAACTTAGACTCAACTGTTTGGGTCTTCTCCATCGAAAATTGCTCGGTACAGACAGCGCACAACCAACTCATCGACCAAAACCAGTACGTTCAGACCGGTGCCAAAATTCATTGCTAACAAACGATGCATGCCTCGAGGAACCGCTTCGACATCATTCGTTTTTTCCATTTTACACAGGCTACCCGGAAGCTGAGGAACAATTTATTCAAACTGGACATGACATATCTTTGTGGACGCAAGATAGCGCATTTAGTACAATCCTGCTACACTCAGAGATTGCGCTCACATTGGAGTAACGTAAATAGTTTGAGGAGTTATCACTCATATTCGCCCTTTACAACAATGACTTCGGTTACCCCAGGCCTAACAGAGCATGAACAGGTGAGAGATCTTGAAATTCGCAGATGGTTTACCTAAGACGGAATTTCCCGACAAACTGCCACTTCGGCTCGCTTAATGGCAAGACATATCAGTGCCTGTAAAAAGCTTTTAAAGCAAACCCTGGAAGACATTTTATATGTCTAGACAAGAGCAGATTCCTTCCGAAACGTTCCTCGCACAGAAGGGTATCGATTTGCACGCTAAAGCATCTACGTATAAAAACTCTGTCGGGGTCTTCTGTAAAACTGAAAGTCGGAGCTCCTAGCTGAATAACGCTCACATTGCGCTCTCTTCCAGGTCTTCCTGGATGTAGACGTTTATTCTCTGAACCTCAGTATTTTGTGAATATATCTATCTCCCGTAAACGATTGGCCTCAGAGTCTGGGAAGATCAGAAATAAACATATATCGACAGTGGTATATTCCAAGATCAGAAAGTAATTTAATAGAAAATATGAAGGCTAAAAGTCAGCACACCTTGCTATAAAACGAAGGGAGTAAGAGCATCACTGCAAATTAAGAAAGGTAGAACAAAGGTTAACCTGCACGAGTAGAAGCGCCTTCCTCGATGACACGCATAACACGAAGTACGGTTTCCTCCTGAAATGGTCTTCCCACAACCTGAACCACAACCGGTAATCCTTCGCTGCCTTTCTGCATTGCAGCTATCCTTGAACCGTACCTATCACCCTCGAGATGTTTGTCAATGGCTAGCTTGTTTGATTCAATGATGTTTACATGGTCTACGAATCCCGTTGACACAGTACCAGCTGGATAATCAACAAGATTATACAATGACACATAGGCAATGCCAGGCATCACAAACATGGCGCGTGTGTCTACTGGCGGCGCCGGATACGGAAAGGCCGGACAAACAACGGCGTCCAGATCTCCAGCCTCCAGCCAACTCTTATGAAATTCCTTTTGATATTCACGAACAGCAACGAGGAGATCAATTGCAGCTTGAGCACTTCGAAGACCACCCATTGTGTGCGCAACTGCTACCGGTCCAAAGCCAACAAATCTGGCGAAAATGTCGATAGTGAACTTTAGCCATCTCGGAGAGGACAGCACAAGGTTGAGGAAACGAAGATGAGATACCACGGGCTCGTTGGATAGAAGGCGGCGCAGTTCCCAGCCCCCATCAGCAAAGATGCATCGGAGGAATAGTTTATAGGCCTTGGCCGGGTTTGGGGGCTTGAACCGAACGATTCGATGTCCAGCTTTTCCGAGAATAGATACAGCGTGATTTATAGCTTCACCGACCACAGCAGCGGCAGGCACCAAGCACGGGTCACGGAAGGTTCTGTAGAAACCTATTGTCAATTTTTTCTTAGTGGAACCGTTAAATGCTTCTTCGTTAAACGGCATAGTTGGAACGCGCGGATCCAAATCAAACATCACTGGCGTCAGCAGACTACGCAGTACACCTGCCAAATCATCTACCTTTCTCGCTACAGGACCCGGACAAGCTTGTAACACAAGAACCGAGTGCCTTGCCAGATTAAGACAACCCACTGAACTCAGTCTATTCACCGTGGGCTTCAAACTGGCCAGACCACAAAATGCCGCGGGGATACGAGTGCTACCTCCAATATCACTGGCGATTCCTACAGGTGCACCACGTTGTGCAACCAAAGCCGCCTCACCACTCGAACTACCGCCAACTATCCTAGACGCATTGACTGGATTGGTCGTGTCGCCAAACACAGGGTTCGTTCCGTCGAGAGCACGCATAGCTTGTGATGTTGTTGTTCGAACAAATGGGATAGCACCAGCCTTCCGTAATACGGTGACCAACACACAATCTTCTTCCATTGGAGAATTGCAGCGCTTAATCAGACCTCCAGTACTGTCATATCCCTTCATACAAAATGTTTCCTTCAAGCTAATCGGGATGCCGTACAGTGGGGATTTTCGCATTGTTGACAAATGCTCCTCCTGTTCCTCCTCAATCGAACTACCTTCAAAAACGGATTGCGCCTGTAGAACGAATTCACAAATCCCTGAATTGCCCTTCTCATACAATTGCAGTGCCTTGGTCTGGAAAGCGTGAAGCAACTGGATTGGTGTAACATCTCCAGAAGCAATCTTTTGGCTCAGCTCACCCAATCCCAAGTCCGTGAGCGCCAGTAAATCATCGGTAACGTCCACCTGTGCCAGTTGGGATCTCACAGCATTGATGTTCTGCTTGACAGAGTCTCGCTTCTTCCGTAACCTCTCATTCTGCTGATGCTGCTGATAAAGACGTCGGATCAGATGGAACATCAGAGCTGTCACTCCACACGATATACAGATCCGCCTGATGCTGCGCTTTGCAAGCCAACCGATGAGCATAGTCCAGTGCATCTCAATCAGTTCAGCCATATTAATGTAGATAAAATCTGGAATGAAAAAATAAAAGAACTCTTAGGAATGATAGTAATAGACACACAAGTCAACATTTCAACCAATTAAAAATGCTGCACGCCCAAACAGCGATCAACTTACCCAAGGATGACACTCATTCTGGCTGATATCACCACGGTTCGTGATGAATATCTTTCCTTAACTAGCATACTTGCACCGTTCTCTTGAATATGTTCATACATACTTCTGTGAAATTGGAACTGTCTGGCTGTACCAGCATTTTAACCCATATTTTCTAGATAAAGCCGTGCTTGCAATCATATATGCAGAGTGGAACCACTGGGAATGGGCGAACAACACGTTCATGGGACGGTTGTATGCCAAACCGGCAGAAAACAGGGCGCTGACTGATCAGATTATGGGCCGATGAGAACAGAGTAGTCTAACGTCGACCCGCAATCCCGAATATTCTAGTGACTGTGATTCCATTCCCATTGAAACGTCATCTCACGTCACTGTACCTCTTAATATATCGTAGTTAAGGGAACAGCTAGGAAATGACCAGAATAGGGATTACGAAACACACTAGTAGGCCAACTTACGGAAGTGAAGGAAGAAAGGTAAAATGAGATAAAGAGTTACAAGAACCGAAAATGGAGAGCACAGCTTTGTACGATAGATAGACTAGATTGTAGATACGACCCATTGCTGACAGTGACACGCTACCATACAGTTGAAAGAGCGGTGTAATTTTGCTGCCCACTGTCAGCTGGCATGCCACCACGGAAAAGCCCACGTGATATGAATTGGAGGTCTCTGAGTACACCTTTCACCACGGAATCAACGACGGAGTCGAAACAAAACGTGAGGATCCAGCATCATCGACAGGCTTGATGTTCAGGACGCTGCAGGCGGTAAATCTGACCGCCAGAAGTGACCATGCAGTGCTCAGTAAGCTGGCACTCTTCACTGAGGCGAACATGTACACAGCGCGTTCGGGCCGCCTTAACCCAAAACATTATTCACATCGAAACTAAAATTGCCAGCTGCTGCTGGTTAGTGTGCCAGGACACGTAATGTGAAAATGCAACTAACATAGTCCGGAACAGAATGAGACACCCATTTCCTTTCTTGTCCTGACTTGTCGTGTTGACATAAATCAACAAACAGGATCAGTTTAAGGTCGTATGTAGGATGCAAGATTATTGCCTCTGTAGTTAGTGCACGAGGTGGCTAAACCTCTGATCGAAGTAAAATCATGATCGACAGACACCAGTCATATGCTTCTCACAGGCGTTAGTACCCCACAATCCAATTAATAACATCAACCTGAGAAACGTTGGCACACCTACAGGATAGTGCCTGTGATCCGACGTCGTACGTTTTTGAAAATTAAGGAACCAGATGTTACGGCCGAGGAATTTTCTCACATCGACCAAGGATATTCTTTGTGGGCCACGCCCTCCGCCAATTTATTATTCGACCGGACACTTGTCCCTCAAATCAATGGCTCTTTAGGCCTTAGACCCCACTATTCAGTTCAGACTTTGTTCAGGCGGTCCCACAAACAGCTGCATTCAGACTGTTTGTGGCTCTGACCATCCTGCTCGGATAGTTCGACACGATGGGCATATCCAAAGGCAGACACCAGCACAATAAAATCATTGGCGTAAGGGTTAAAGCGCGACAATTATCTTACGTAGCCGTAATCAAAAGGTTAATCTAGTAATGGTGCATGGTGCCGATATTTGAACTCCGGATCCCTGACATGGGAACGGGCGTGTTACCACTACTCCACCAACGGGCGCTGGACGCTCCTGAAGTATCGCGTATGAACAGAGCAGTATCACTGACTGGCAGGACGTCTGGAACGACGATCGGCTGACATTTCAGTCACGAGCTCCCAGGCAGGTAGTGTTCTGGACGCTCGAAAACTTCTGGACGTCTTTTGATTAATTGTAAATGGTTGCAAGATTTGTGAAATCCACAATCGAATCCCGTAACCAGGTAAAATTAACAGCTGAAGTGGAAAACTCAGTAAACACCGTACGAGAGATCAAATAAGGAGACCAACATACTACGCTAATAACTTGGATGTTCCACTAACCCTCGCCATCGTCTGCAGAGCAGTCCTTGGGAGCAGAGCAAAACTAGTGTCTTCCGGGAGATATACTCTCCCGGGGCAAAATGATACGACCACCAAACGTTTACCACCACAATTTTACTATTTGATCAGGTCGTTATAAGTAGCATCAAGAAGCAACGGATTCCTGCTTCGTAGTTAGTTTCAGTATGTTTACAAATCAACAGAGCGCTGTAAGGCGATTGCAAGATGCATATAAGCGTCCCTAACGACGTCGAAGTAATCAAACCGCTGCACATATGTGTGGCTTCAACACCCGACGATTTCTAAGGAAAAGGCTGCTCCGGGAGCTAGGATAATGTAGGAGGGTAGTCCATAAAATTAGCTCTGTAATTTGATGTAAATCAGTCGGTGCAAGCGGGATTTGGGACCATTAAGCGGCTGACGTACGGCGGTCAAAACGGATGGAAAGCGGTCCGTAGCGACAAAAAACAGAGGTGGGTATACTGTGTCACCTCTGATAATTGTTGTTGATTGCACAGCCTTGAAGTATCCAGTTGTCTCGACTTTGTTCAGCATTGAATGTTGTCTGACATGAAAGCAATGTTGCAAACGGACGACAAGTGCTTTCCAAACAAGATAAAATTAGCATGTTGAAAAGTTAAGAGTAAGTAAGTTTATATAATGCTCGAGTTTGGAACCAAACAACCCTTAATGTTATTCGTGGAATGCATGCTAACTTTTGTAGCTGAAGTAGCCATACGAATACCTTTTCACCTGACGAATCAAACCATTGGAACAATGTTGAACACTCTAGCGTGGTTTGCATCAGCTGTCCCGTGAACAACAAAAAACGCCCACATAAGGGGGCTTTTTCGGGGTGTTGGTTTGTGGCAGATGCGAAGTAGCGATGGCAGGGTGAAGTACGATGGCTCCATACTCAGAGAGTACCAACCCAAAGGGGTCCCGAAGCGCCTCCCAAAAGTCGTCCTGGTTTCTTATAAGGAAAACTATTTTTTATGGAAAAATGATCGATAAGATACAAAAACAATGTGCATTCACAGGAACCGAAAAGCATGGAAGAAATTTGGGCTCTGAGGAAAATCTCTTGGTGCACGATTCGGCACTATGTCTGTGCCAACAAGATCACTCAAACTCATCCGCAAAAAAGACTTGGGTCCATCACCAAAATTATCCATCAATTTGGATGTGGGTCTTTTGAATACCCTCTTGGTTGAAGAGCTGTGTGGACGTGGGAACGTCGATCGTGCAGTTTTAACTTTCACACGACTGAGCAAGTTACCTACAGAAAACTGTCTAGAACGTGCCTGTTAGCGCATCGCTTTGCATTTCCATGGCATTGTCACATGACGGCGCTAAGCCGGTTACGTCTCAATGCACGAATTCAGCGTTGAAAATTTTGGATGACGAAGATCGGTTCTACACCTACCGCAGACTTCAAGTTAGTAGAATGAAAAATCAATAATCAATAAACCATTCCAAACTGCGAATTGGTTGGGTGACAAGTTAACCGGTGGATTGTTAATATACCTGGTGAAGGTACTAAAGGGTGTAAAGCCTGTATACTGTGGGACTCAGTAGAAAATTCACAATCAAATCACAGGCGAAAGTGGGCGAGGGTACCGTCATTATCGACTTCGGCATGACAGTGATATATCAAGCACAGCAAAGCCGAGGATGGACGCCAAATTACTGTGTATTAGTTGCATCTTAATTTGAGCGTCCCAGTTTCGTAGAGTGGGTTGGCTGGGGAATTGCCACTGACGTAACTGAACTGAAAGTTAATCGGTCTGTAGAGTGAAAAGTCGGCTAGCCGTGGAGTAGTGAGAGCTGGTTCTATTCATCCTAACGCTCGTTGTTAGTCGACACGCATTCGTAAACCATTAACTGATGTAGGATAGAACAGATACCTTTATCAGATATAGTGGTTGTATGCTGAACACTCAAGACCGAAAATCACTTCAATTATTGAATTTGTTACAGAGCGTACGCTAGCGAAAGATCATCTTAGGAATATATGATGTTGGTTTCCAGCTGTTTTTGGAAACAATATGACTGCATAATGTCAAAACCGTTCGGGATCATTTATCTCATTTTTCGTTAAGGGAAACTGTATGTTCCTAAAGAGTTTGCCTCATCATTCCATTCAACCTGCAGAATACTGCCTATGAAGAGGATACCCCGGTATCTGGCATATCGGCACAACTATTCCCAGAGCTTGACACTGGATCTCAATCGGCAACGAATTATTCACCGACTGAAACAATGTACCAAGACCGTAGAGAGCCCACGCATCCAACTAAACAATGCTCTCTCGCTCCAAGACACCCAGTAGAGGTCATCATCATCGACAGCATGAAATCAGTGTTCACTGCCGTAACTCAGTATTTGTGCCAAATGATGAATGCACTCGGAAGCTGAAACAAAAGTAGACGGTCACATTGAGGTCACCCGCGTAGCTGATTGGTGGTCCGTGAGATAAACACCACCCCTTTGGAGAGCACATTACAAGCACCGGATGAAGATTTCACTTGCCATCGACTGACAAAATCAGGCTCAGCTAATACACCTGCCAAGAGGAGTACCGGCAGATAAGCACGCCATCATCATCGCATGAAATCAGTGTTCACTGCCGTAACTCAGTATTTGTGCCAAATGATGAATGCACTCGGAAGCTGAAACAAAAGTAGACGGTCACATTGAGGTCACCCGCGTAGCTGATTGGTGGTCCGTGAGATAAACACCACCCCTTTGGAGAGCACATTACAAGCACCGGATGAAGATTTCACTTGCCATCGACTGACAAAATCAGGCTCAGCTAATACACCTGCCAAGAGGAGTACCGGCAGATAAGCACGCCCTGCAATGCATATAACACAACAGCAAGTGATCAAATCCCTTCTCATCTACTTAGTTAAGGAGACTCTAGCACGTTCAATCCGCCAACATTATCGATCGCCAAATTTGAAGATCAAACGAATCCTTGTGAATATTGCTGCTGACATTGAGCAGAACATCGCTGTGCACGTAATTCTGACGTGATCTACTGCCGTAGTTGGCCTGCCTAATCGATTTCAGCATATAGGAACCAGTTGGTTATTCTTCCAGCACCATTTTGCACTTCACTGGTTCCACACAGCTGTGCATGGAAATAGCGACCTGGTAAAGAGCGACTGCACAACAGTCAAAAACGATTTCCTAAAGAGGACAAAAAGATCCCATACGATATTTCTAGTTACTCCCCAAGTTTTTTTTGACTGACATATGAGAATGCTTTAGACTGCCAAAAACACTTCTCTCTCATCTTGAAGGGGGACTACTCCATTTTCACAAAGTGAATTGAAAGGAAAACCATGGGATAATGAAACGAAATATCCTAACTGTACACACACTACGAACGGAGGCTTATGTAACTAGGAAGTAACCAAAAAGCGGAGCCAATCTGATTCTTCCTGAGGTATTTATATACTCACTCTTTTTTTACCCACCAGTGAGTGACTCGGAATGTTGTATTAGTGTGCCTTGGAATTATGAACTATCAGGCTAACTGATTTGAACACGCTGACCAACAAAGATGCATGACTCACCCAAGTGCAGTAGTCCTTGTGTATACGCAAAGATCAAGCTTATATCAAGGTCAGGTAGTACTGTACGGATCCGGTTGCAGACCGAATACAGAGCGACGTGGTGACAACCGCTGTGGAACCATTCGCATATCTCTCCCTTCAATACACATCGTCGCCATGTTCCCTTCCGCAGTTCTGTGTGTATCGATCAATAGAGCATCAACCAGTTACCCTAAATACGGGTGGCAGTTGGTTTCAGTGGTTTCTGAATAAGGTGGGAAGCTATTTAAGAGTTTGTCAAAAACAGCATTCTCCTCAAAAGGGGAACTCCTGTGAGGACAGTTCACAGCAGAATTCTCTTCAGCCACCAATTAGTACACAATCCTCCGACAGGGAGACCACGTCTCAGGACAGGGCAAATAGTCTCTTCCTCTGAGGTGTTCCCCTTTGGAGGAAGCTGTGCTCTAGAAAAGCTCCAAGGAACCTGTTCAATAGTGCGCCTTATTAACGATGTGAGGGATGAATTCATATCACGCTTAGTAACAGCCATGCTTTGTGGCTGTGAGTCGCAGCTGATTTCATGTAGAGACCTGAAGAGCTACCGTATTCATAGCATAGAAATTGTTAGCTGGCAACGGTAGCTTAGTGATGAATGTGTGATGTTCGGTAGGCGCGCTGAACCCCCACACGCTGATGCCGACTGGGTAGCCTAGAAGCCAAACTGGGTGAGCTAAGAGTTCAAGTACAGACAGGGCTAACCATCCTGTTTGGTTTCAATGTGCTGGTTACTTTCATTAATGTATAATATGAATGACCCGGCATCTCCATACCAGTTCTAACCTATACAGAGGAGAGACGCGTGGGGCACAGTGTCAGGAATGTGGCAAGTGCTGCAAATCGAAAGCTCGCCTGGTAACTCACCACTGAGTTCAATGTGCTGTTACTTTCATTAATGTATAATATGAATGACCCGGCATCTCCACACCAGTTCTAACCTATACAGAGGAGAGACGCGTGGGGCACAGTGTCAGGAATGTGGCAAGTGCTGCAAATCGAAAGCTCGCCTGGTAACTCACCATTGAGTTCACGACAATGGAAGTGTTGGCACGAACGTGGTCACCCAGTCAGCCTGCGCCCGCTAGTCAGCCCGCCTTTTCCGAAGAGTGGCCTGAAAAAGCAAAGCGGCACGAACACAACACCCAGCATAATGCAGATCAGCTTGGTCGAGTGAATAATTCCGGTGTCCACTGGTCCCAACAGAGTCACAATCACTCTTGCGCCTGACTAAAAATTTACAGCCATCTTGTGACACGCAAACCGTGCTGTTCCTGACATTGGAGCAATATTTCCCTGGCTGATCGGTCAACATCGTCGAAATCAGGTTGCATGTGCTTAACCAGCAAGCGAACCATCATCTGGAGACCTTCACCAAACCACTGGTCAAACAGCGGCCTGTTCGTCAGAGTCTGATAACTATAGCGTCAGGTTTGAACAACCGTGGATTGCGCCCTGTCACCTTTGGAATCACATGCTGACAGTTCACACGCTAGTCTTGACCTTTTGGCATTTGCCCGAGGGCTGCAGTCTGGCATCATGACATCGGAGCAATTCCTATCACTTCTAAACTTCCATGCCTCTAAGACATTTCCACACGTGGAATCCGGTCTCCCGACACCGCCGCAAGCTGGCCCATCGTGTACCGGCTGAACGAAAGCAGATCCACCGAGCCGACTACGCTACCCTCCAGACTATACCACCAAGGCGGAAAGATGCAGCGTCTGCTGTGCTCGATGGGTCCTGGAAGGATCCATACAAAGGAAACTGCGGCCTACCTCTGGACGCCAAGCAGTAGTGGAGATAGGTGCTCTCCGCTCCAAAATAGGTGGATAGCCAGCCAAGTCGCACAAAGCTACCATCCGATTGGAGTTCGATCCAGCCAATTACAGGTGAGGAAGTCGGTCGTGCGATTCGTTTAATGGGCAATTCATCCTCAGGCCTGGACAAGCCCACACCCAAGATACCTCGCCGGTTCAATGCCAGTGCCCTCATTGGGTATTTCAACTTGCTCTTATTGTCTGTGGGTTGTAGGCCGCATCTGCGTCGTGCTCGTATTACCCTAGTTCCGGGGGCCCCAAACGCGACTTCAATGGATCAACTGAGACCGAACTCCGTGTCATCCATTCTTGCTCGACGCTTTACTAAGGTGCTTGCTGATCGCTGAGGTCGTAAATTGCAACTGCTCTCAATCCAGTTTGCACTTCTACACCGAGACGAATGTTTAGAAGGTACGTCGCTGTCACACGCCTTGCTTCGTCACTCTTCAGTGACTACTTCTAACCTCAGTTTGGCGTTTGTTGATATCTTGAAGGCGTTTGATTCGGTTTCGCGTGACACCATTGTCAGATGTGCCGAGGCGTTTGGAGCACCCTCACATCTAGTTCGACACATCGCACAGTCCTATGAGTACGCTGTAGCAGTTTTTCCCGATTCCGGGATTCACTACCACAGAGGTATGAGGCAGGAGATCCACTCTCCCCAATATTGTTTACCATGACAATGAATGAGGTTCTTGGATTGTCGATGCCGCAACTAAGATTTCAGATTTATGACAACTTATTGGACGGTTTTGCCTTCGCTGACGACTAGGTTGTATGTGCAAAAGGTCAGGCGTAGCTTGAAGCTGCTGCGGTCGAGTTTGGAGAAACTGGTATGAAGATCAACGCTCGAAAGACGAAAGCAACGGCGACTTGTAGGGATAGAAAACATCGGGCAACAGCGGTCTCAGTCGAACTTTTTTGCTTCGACGAGGAACTCACCAATCATCTGGGTTTGACAGACACTGTAACGTATTCGGACATTCCCCTTACTTCCAAGGGGAAAGGGGTCTTCAACCACGGACAGCTTGAAACCATCGACAGCAGTTTCTCAAACTGTTTCATGAGGTGACGCGTGCCACGTTGAAGCCCTATCAAAGAATGAAGATCACAAGTAACTACTTGATACCAAGGCTGACATATGCACCCGTACTCCGCCAAGTCCACCGTCCAGTCAAAAGGTTGGACAATTACACCAGGTAATCTATTTGTGGCAGGCTACGTCTACCGAGGGACACCCGGATAAGCTACATCCACGCCGGTAAACATGGGAAACCTGATATTCCAAGTCTCAGTGCAACCATCCCGATGCAGTGGAGAGCGTGTATGGAAAAGCTCCTGTCTATCCGGTGCCGAGCACTACGCAATATGGTCGATGACTCCGTATTTCGTAAGGGTTCCAGTATCCCAGCCCTCCAATTCGAGTCCAAGGTGCGAACATCAAGGAAGAGCTGGTGGTTGCTTTGGGCGACAGTTTGCACAGCAGTGTGGACAGTCGCGATTTACAAGAGTCGTTTGCTGTGACCCTCTTGAATCGACAACTTGCGCTTCCAGAACGAACGTTCCCCTGGATGTTTACCCTAGGTATCCAGTTCCTGTGCAACGTGCTTAGGACAAGAGTTAGAAGCGCCCGGCGTGGTCATGGTAGCCAAACGATACACTGTGGAGGAAAACGTAGCCAACCGGAGAGTTTGGTGCATATCCTACAGTCCTACTGGATTACGCATGATTCTAGATATGCTCGTCATAAGTGAGTTGCAAGGGAACTTGCGAAACATCTCTGTTGCCTGAGATACACCGGTTTCGAGGAGTTGAGAGCACCTACGCCTTTCATCAAGCCTGACCTAATCGCTGTTCGAGAGGGTCGAGTGACTGTTCGGAATGAGAACCAGAAGAATCGTGCTGAAGATTATTCCTACGGCATCATCTCAGCCCTAGATGCAACGTGAAGTTGACTTTTTGGTCCACAACCGACGATCATTTCATATCACGCGTCTGCTTTCCTCAATCCGCCACGGCTGTTATTGGACTGAAACTTCCTAAGGCCGCGTTCAGTGACTTGCAGTTGCTCACCATTCCCAGATCTTTGTGTACTTACGACACTTTTATGTATGGGACATGGTGTTGAGTGTTCATTCTTGCCACTGGCTTCCACACCGGACTCAGTATGACGAACATTTTGTGCCTGATGTGCGAGTCTCCACTGTGCTGTCGTTTACTCCAGCTTGAAGAGCATGTGACATTATTTGTACTCTCTTCAGTTGCTTGTCTTTACATGCGTGTTTCATACCAAACATTCTTACTTAACTTGTAATCTATGTTGTCCACTTGGAATTGTTGGTGGACAAATGGGACGTTAACCCTGTTTTATCTAATATTCTCCTATACACCGTTCAACATTTATCGCCTGAATTTAATTTTCATGTTTGTGACCATGCTCTTCAAAAATAAACGATAGTGAGTACCTAGTTACGAATCGGACTCAATACAACAGGAGACAAGCTTGTCAAATTGGAATGGTTGGGATAGGTACTGCTTACGTCTCACCACTATCCACCAAGAGGCATTATTACACCTCACCCTATGTGGTAGAAGGTCCATGGAGTGATGGGAAATAAAAATAACCACTTGAAACCGAAGACCTACCTGGCTAGACGCAAAGCGGTTTTGCTTATAAGGACTTAGAAACCACGTGGTACATGGCATGTGAACTGTCACACCACACAGATGTAGTCTTAGTTGATTTTACGCAGAGTTTTCTGTGAGGTAACATTCAGTGGAGTATTGGTTGGTGAAGGCCACCACAGAACTCTCCCAACGAAGTCGTCTTGCACAATTCTCAAACTGCACGTCTGAATACTGTCACAAACCGGTCGGTGAGGGCCTTAGAGAATCTTCCCTTTTTTCTCTCGCTACGGTAGTATGTAATTTCCACTGTGCTGCTAACCACGCAAATGATAGATGTACAAGACACTTGATAGACCCAGCAGAAACGTTACATCAGGTGCAAGCAAAGTGCTGCACAACGTACAGTTTGTCTATTCGAGATAGCAGTCCACTTAATGCCAAGTTCATAAAGAGGGCAGTGTATGCCCCTCCTGAAAAACCAGACTCCTCAGGAATTCGAAAAAAACAGCCTTATTGCTAGCAAAATACTAGAATAGAAGTTTGTTACTAGTTTAATGTCCCAATATTGTGGTCAGTGAAGAAATTCAGCGGCAACCAAAGAGTTCAGCTTCTATCGGTCAGGGAAGTTTAATACTATTTTGTGGACCCTGACATGTCATTTTGATAATACAAAGGGAAAATGCACTGTCCCTATCCAAGGGTCTGATTGATTTGCTCATTCCACCATGGACGAATGTCCCTTGAATGAATACGTTTATCTTTGAAAGGTAACTTTTGTTTAAGTTTCGATGAAAATACTTCCGTGTTTGAGTTTCGCGTGATGACCTAAATGGGCGACAATTACTTCCCAGTTAGGTAGCGTTGTTTTGGTGCCTTTCCAATGATCTAAGCATCCGTGGCCTGCTCTGTTTTGCTAGTCCAAGGTCCTTCGTGTTGTTTGCCTTCTCCTCCTTAAGTACACAGCTCAGGCAAAATCATCATTGTCAGCTGTACGAACAGCGTACTTGTACAGTGGTTGTAATTGGCAGTTTAGTTCACCTATGATTTGGGGAGGCAGGATAGATGGCTGCGCATTGGAGGCGGGAGCGGATAAATTAGTGCGTAAATACAGCACTGTCAGTGGACTGTCAAGTGGGGCATTGGGAATGGAGCTATACTTTAAAGGCGTTAGCCTGGATGCACGAGTTCCATTGAGGGAGCGACTGGGCCATATCAGACAATGTCTACAACCATTGATGTGGCCCGTCTCGGGGTCCCCATCCAGGAAGACGGCAGTGACTTGCGCAGCTGAGTTTGCTGGTAACGGCTTCTATACTTCGCTGCCAAGTCGTTGTTTGACCGCCTGTGGCTCTCTTCCACCCTTCACGTGGTTGTGCGAAAAGGGCCCTTCGAGGAATTCGGTCGACTGGCATACGCAGCAAGTGGCCAAGCCAACGCAACCGATGCAGTGGGATCAGTTCATCTATCGAGGGTGAGTTATTTCGCCCGAATACCATTCGCCAACTTTCAGCATTGCTGATCCGGTGTTCCCTCCAGACTCGGGCAATGCTCCGAAGACACCGATGGTCAAACACTGAAATTATTTTGGCGTCCTCAGCGCGCCAGGTTTCT